ATTGAGTTAACAGCTGTTAGTAACTGACCTCAAATGCACGTATATATTACCATAGTTTGTCACAAACGAATCTTCGAGTCAAAGGTAAAATTTGCGCCTAAAAACCTCAAAAAAAATTGGAAATAAGGCAAAAGTAAAATGTTATTGGTGAAAGATGATTTAGATCCAAACTGCTTTCTTTCTAAAGGTGCTAAAAAACTTCCCTAAAACTACAAAATATGATTTAATTATAACTGTGACATACAGGCTAGAAAGGTAAAAAGTATACCCTTGAGGTAATAACCAAAATCTGTAAGGTCATGAAAGACATAAAGATGGGGTGAGATTCTAGAATATCATCACAAAGTACTTCCTTGAAAGCCTGAAAAAAATAAGTTTTAGAATAGGGAAAGTGTAGACTACTTATACTACTGAGATAATTTGGACTGAAAATATTAAGATGCTTTAATAATTAGACCAGGGATTCTCACCCTGAGATATACAGGGTTTCAAGATAAATACATGGAATAATATACAAAATTTTGGCTTTTTTTTTTAAGGGAAAGAATCCTAAACTTTCCTCAGATTCTCAAAGTCCAGATACTTAAAAGGGTAAGAATTAGTATTTGGCAAATATGATTGCTGTACTTCCTCAGATCTTTCCTGACTCACTAATAACAAGTTTGGTGTCCCTCCTAAAGGCATACCTCTACTCTTATTCAACAACTGTACTGTTTTAAGTATTTACCTGCCTTTCTCCTCCATTAGATGTGAGCTTCTCCAAAGTGAAAACCTCATGCATTTTTGTAACCTTCTCTCTCAGTACGCTGCCTAATACATACTGGTGCTGAATGTTTATTCAATCAATCAATGAACAGAAACAAAGATAGCTAATTGACAACGGAAGGATATAGTATAAAATATCTAAAAAGAACTGAACACTGTTCTTCCTGAAGAATAAGAGATTCTAATATGGTAAGCAAGATGACTTTCACAATGTTACTATGCACCGTAGTTAAGTTTCTTGGGGTATTTTAGAAAGTGCTTGTTCCAACTGGATAAAGTTTAACTCAAGAATATATTAAACTAATAGCTCTTCGGCTCAGTCTGGAGCAGAGAAAGGGCCTCCAAGGAACACAGCAGGAAGTCAGGGTAGGGCTGTTGGTTTTGTTCACTTAATTGGGGAAAATTACCCAAAGATACACAATGTCTCCAAGCTTACTATATAATATAGCATTTATACATAAGCACTTTCCTTCACAGGCCACTAAAAACAAATGTGCAAGTTGGGGCACAGTATAGGAAAGGTGTCAGCAAGCAAGGTAGAGCTACTGACACTCCTAGGCAGGAATCAGTCTTCTTACTCCTGGTGTCGGATTGGTAGGAAATATTTAAATAGCCTTGTACTACTCCCTTAACAAATGAGGCAGCTGCAGTTAACACCATTAAAATACTTCATATATGGGAGGATTTAGTTTCACTTAGAAATGTATTCATAGAACTGCTATTTAGCTTTCTATCAGCATATTAACAGATTTATCGTAGTATAAACAGGTGCACAAGCTAACTAGAAGACCATTACATGGCTTGGAATGTGGGGCTTCACAGCCTAGAGTCCCTGATTTCCTCAGAGAGCAATGATGTTTACTTTTATTTTTGCACCATCAAGCAAACCTCTGGATAACTCCCAAATAAAACCTCAATTGATATTAGAAAACATATTAAGAATTCTATCTACCCTTTGGTACCGCTTTGCTCTTAAGGATTAGGGATCTGTTGGACCTGATGTCATGGAATCTGATGTCATGGAAAGAGCTCCACTTCCTCAAGGTGTTCTACTTTCCTTTGTAATCTTTGTGATCTTATCAAGGAAGTCAAAAGCAACAGGCCAGTCAGTGGCAGTCAGTGAGAGTATGAAGAAGTTATCTTCCCAGATGCTCACACTAGTAATTACTTATATATGGCAAGGTAAGCATGCTCACTCTCCCATACTACATTTTTGTTTATTCAAGTAAGGCTAGAATTGGACAGTATTATTGAAATGATTTTTTTTTAATGTGAAATGTTACAGACAAATAAAAAAGTATTTCCTCCCCATGAAGTAACCATTGAACCTTATTTGGTATTAATAAGTCCCAGGCATATAACTATATATAGAATTGTTTGACATGTTTCTAAACTGTATATCAGATTGTACCTAACAAGATCATCTTTGTAGTCTTTATTACTTAGAAGCATGTCTCCTATCTAATTGGCTGTATACCTTCACACTACATATTTAACCTGCCTGGGTTGTGGTTTCCCTTAATAATGTGAATAACATGGTAATTCAAATGATATGAATAACAGGATAATTTCTAAAGTTCCTTTTTGTTTATATACAGTCCCTACAAGAAAACACAGGGATGGATCTTTAAATTACACATTTACATATTATGCTAATACATTTTAATACATTTAGTAATATACTAGAATTGAAATTAATTTTTAAGGGAAAAAACATGCCAAGCTGAACATAACATGGTGATTTGGTACCAATAAATGCCACTTAAATTGATATATAGCCATTCTTTCATGTAGGTAAAGACATTTTCACATTAATTCTTCACATGTATTATAAAATCATTCCAGAGCATGACTGAAGAATAGGCAGAATATGTACTCGTTAAGAGCTTGAGCTCCAGACTCAGAAAAACCCAAATTCAGATTCTTACTGGGGCATTTACTGGCTGCCTGCAATCTGGTTAAATAACTTGACCTCTCTAACATATACATTCTTCTTTAAAATATAGATCATTTAGTACCTATGTCAGAGGATTGTTATGGTGGGATAGTTTTTTGCCATTTTTATAGACACTACCAGAAGATAATTTACTTCTTCAGATCTGTGAACCAGTGGAACTCATATTGGAACAAAGAGTAGTCAATTTAATTCTATTAAACAAACCCAAAAAAACACACCTTTTCTACTAAATTATATTAAAGATATATTTGGGTTATATAACAGAATAATTAACATTAAATGATTGCTACTAGGAGTTTGTGATAGTAAAAAAATCAGAATTAAAGTGACTAAAAGTTCCTACTGTTCTTATACCTGGTAGTTTCTGATTAGCAAAGTTTGGATAGCACTTAATGAAACATGATTCCAAATAGTGGTTTTTAAAATTAAAAAGATATTAATCGAATATACCTTGCACATGCATAGTCTTAAAATATCACTTTTTTCCCTTTAAGGAGATATGATAGTATATATCAAAGATTACTATTTCTCCTTATAAGGAACTGATTTCTTAAAACTAGAATACATCGAAGAATTTTTATGAACAGATTTCAATGTTATTATCAGAAATTCCCAGATAGTATTTATTTTGCAAGGTTATTTGTTCAATTATGTGTATTTTATGTCAATTTAAACTTCCATTTGTTCTTTTACCCTGATAATTCTAGGAAACATTCTGATATATTATGCATTGTTGACAAAGCTCCAAAATGGTCATTCCAAATTCAAAGAAGGATATGAAAAAGCAAATATTGGTCATCTACTCATAGAAAAGCTATTATGTTTTTCTACATTCTAAGCAGAATAAAAATCTTAGGTAACTCAAATTTCTACCCTCATAATCTCTAGGTAATCATCACAGCCGGGTTTTATTTTCAGTTTTCAATATAATAAAATAATAATGTTTTAGAGAAGACCTGGAAGGCAGCTTTAACAGGAAAACAAAATTAAACTTCTTAGCATATGAAGAAATACTATGCTTTTTTTCCTCACAGTACTTCTGAGCTATCATTTCTGATGCTTCTGTGCTGCTTCCCCTGCCAGAAATAACCTGAATCTCCACCTTTCCAACCGATTATGTCCAAATCTGGCTCAAATGTCACTCTTCTACATGCCTTTCTTGACAGCCAACTCGCTCCCTACAAATCTAATTGCTCCCTTTGCTATTCTTCCTTTCCACCTTAGATTTACATCTTTCTTTGCACTTAGGACATTAATTTTTAATTGAGTATCAACTTTGTCAGAATGTGAGCTTTTTGAAGGTAGTCTATGTCTCATACATTTTTGTGTTTTTTTCCCTTTCCTCCACCCCAGCAGAGACCCTGGTACATGATGAAGTTCAGCCTTATTTCGTGAACTGACCCTTTCAGCAAGTAGGGTATATTTTGAGCCTAATTTTAATTATCAAGTTTGTTGTTCAAGATTAAGAAAAGGAAATTTCATAAAACATTTGACGAGGTAAGAGCAAGTATCAACATGTTTACAAACTGCATTACCATGGCAGCATAAATAACTCTGTACTGGTCGGCAGGTCCTGAACACTGTACTGTCTGGTTCTGAACTTCTCCCAGTGCTAGAAAAGCAGCTCCATTCACTTCTCCAAGTGAGTCTTAGGAGCAAGTAAGTCCATGTAAGGACCCTGTCTCTGGTGTAACTAAAATGGAAGAAAATGGACCACTGAAAGGGAGACTCCTGCTTTTGAAAAAAAAGATGGAGGATGGGAGGTAGGAGAGTACTATGTTTTAAGAGGACTTAAGTCTTCTAAACTTCTGTTGGCCTCCCATGATCTTCCTGTTTGGGAATAAGATCTAACAACTTGAGTTACACAAGAAGAAAAGTTTGGCAGAGATCAACTAGACAATCTTTCTCTAGGAGACCTGGTCACTAATGTTACATCCATCTCAAAGGAGAATGTATGAACTGTGACTGTATCCAGCCTTGGAACCAGAGTTAAGAATAGGCTGGGGACCAGTACTTGATGCCACTTCCTTCTTTCTCCTTTATCTAATAAATAGGACTCTTTACTTTAACCATTTAGTGTACACATGTGACATGTGAGCAGTCCAGGTGGGGTTAGTTATGAAAGATATTTTAAATAACGCTGCCCTTAACGTTCATTCAGGGACTATCCAGAGCAGGACTACAAATCATCTTTGTCTACTGAAAGGTTTCCAGAGACTGCAGATATGATGAAATTTACACCAGTCTGCACAAAAATGAGAAAACCAGACTTTGTATGTGAATTTTATGACTACCTTTATTCACTTCTTGGGCATGAAAATATGTCTTTTAAAAAATGATGTACCTGGAGCTCTAGCTCTTGGTGTGTGTGAAAATGAGGACCATGTCATAGGGGTAGAGGGAGCCTGGGTAGCTAAGGGGTGTGGAACAAAACCACTTGATCAGTCTGGGACTGCCTCTGGACTTCTGCATATGAGAGAACTAATCTCCCACAGGGTCTAACCCACTGTCAATTTGGCTCTCAATTGCAGCTAAGTTATAGTGATTGTCTCCTAGACCTCTGTGACAGAAACCTCATGTGAGATAAATGGCATCAGAGTCTAGTGAGGGACCAAACTGATTCTCATAGGTTACTCAGAGGTTGAAGTGTTCTGCTTGAGAAATACCAATTCATTAAAGTCACATTTTAAAACATTTACTTTAAATGTCTGGTATATATGAATGTAAATAAATGCTAATGATACAAAATTTTTAGAATGTTTTTATCTAATACTGATGGAAAGGTTTTGTCTAAACAATCTATTCTTATCTTATACACAAGGATAAGTGTGAGAGAGAGATTCCTTGTTACCATGAAATTTGTATGCTATTTCTAAAGGATTCTTACTTATCTTTAATACAAAGTACTTCACTTAAAATATTTCAACAAATTCTTAATTAACTGGCAACATCTACATGTTTTAATGTTCTGAATACCTACAAAGAACATTATTATAGTTAGATATCACTTATTTTACCAAACGCAGATTATATTTCTAATTTTCTCCCTATGAAAATTTATTTTTTTGGTGCTTTTATAAAACAGCTACCTTTAAAAAGTTAAGTTTCTCCCTCAGAATTAAAAATCTGAACAATTGCTGTATTTTTAACATATGCTTTTATAGCATTTCAAAAGCAAATCTTAATTCAAACCAATACCTTTAAAAATGAAATTAAAAACTCAGTTTAATTTCAATGGTTTTCATAAGGTAGGGGATGCAAGCCATGTTTCTTATTTAATAAACACAACTGTTGTATAATAAATACAAAATAAGGAAAAAGTGATAACTATTATCAAGGGTGAAACAGTATATAAACTTTAATCTTAAAAGCTGTTTCCTACATCTGCATTGATATAATCTGAGAATTCTCTATCAATTTCATTTACAGAAGGAATCTGTGTAAAATTTATTATTCACTTTCATGCCCCAACATGGGAAGTGGTAGGCGAGTATCTGTAGGAATACAATTTATTGTCTGCTCCTCCACTCAGAAGTAACTGCATAAAGGGAGAGAAAAAAAACCAAACACAGAAGTAAATACAATTATTTCATACGACAGCAAAACCTAACTTAATACTGATGATTATGATCACAGAAGGAATTATGGATGAACAATTACCTTGCATTGAAAATTAATAAAGTATTAAATAGGCCAATTGCATCAAATTTCATTACCATATTACATATATTATATAATGATACAGTATATTAAATTTTTTAAGTGGTGATTTTAATTTGGTTGAGGCATAATATGCTATTGAACTTTCTATGACACATTTGCTAATACGTAATATTATTACAAGGGTAGTACAGTTTTACCTACGTAAGAAAATTAAGTTTTTAAAGGATAGCACATTGTTTGCAGGTAAATGGATATTACAAATTAGTCAAATAACCCTGGGACCTATATTTGTTTGCAAAGAGTTTTTAGGTAACAAGAGCTTATACAACAGAAAAATAATGAAATTGTAATTCTTTAAACACATTTTATAATCCAGATATATAAGAGTTTTCTAAGTGGGAAATACTTTGATTCAATTACACTGAAGTAGCAAGTTTATGACTTAAAACTTTTATTAAAACATTTTATTAAAATACTCATGAGATAAAAAATATTCATGAGAAAAAAACTGCTTCAAAATATTTAATATTAATATAGTTTTTTTCTTCTTCAAATGAGATGTGAGATTTTATGAATATCAATGAAACTTAGAATACAGAATTATAAATGTCAGATACACTGAAAGTAGTAACTCTGTAAACACAAACACCAGATTTATCCTAATAATATAATACAGATTCCTCTCTACCAAATAACTAATAAATTCTTACCCCTGTGTCTGTCCAGTCTACACTCAGAACTTTGTCTTCATGAGCAGCCAGATCATAGAGAGGAGCCTTACAACTAAAAGATGAAAAAATTAATGTCTTATATGCATTTCATTGTACTAAACATACATGAATAATTGTTTATACTTTTCTGAAAATTTTAGTTTACCACTCTTGCCCCAATAACCACTTAATCTTAAAAGTCTGAGTATTTACTTGGCTACCTCTCCTGTTTTTCCTGTGTCATTAGCAGACTACAGAGAATTATTACAACAAAATGTATTCAGGAAAAAAATGCTATTTATTTATAATTAGGCCCATTTTCACACTTCCTTGACTACTTTTCTTTTCCCTCCAAATCATGGCTTTATATATGCTTTGTCTATCAAACTGAATGCTGGTAACACCTAGATTTGTATCATTAGCCCCAAATTTGATATGTATATCCAATTTGCTGACAGCTAAATGTCCTATGGGCATTACAAATTTAAAACAACCAAAACAAAACTCGATTTTCCCTTACAAACATGTTTTCTACTCTTTCCTGTCATAGTAAATGACACTACCAATTACCCAATTGCTGAGGCAGAAAACATGTGCATTATCTTTGATTACTATCTCCAAATTCTATCCAAGAAGTAATCCTGTCAATGAGCTATCTTCAAAATATACCTAGAACCCAATCTTCTCTCATGCTACCATCATAGTCCAAATTACCACTATCTGTCTCTTGAATTACAGTAATTGTCTCTCTGCTTCCATTCTTGCTCTCCTACTCAAAAACCTCCAAAGCCTTCCTCATCACACTTCAAATAAAACTCCAAACTCCTTACCATGTCTGTAAGGTCCTGCTCTATATAACCACTACCTGCCTCATGTCCTGCTACTCCACTCCATGAACACTGGCCCTCTTGCTATTCTGCCAGCACGGCAAGATCCCCCAGACCCCTGCCCTTATCTGCTGTTACCTTCTGCCATGATCTGTGCATGGCTCATACCTTCACTGTTCAATTCACTACCACAATATCACTCTCAAAGAGAGGCCTTCCCCAAAGAAGTGTCCCTTTGCTCTGCTTTATGTTCTTTACTGAACTTACTACTATGGTCAGAAACTACATGCTAATTATTATATAAAGTATCCAATTAAAATGTACATACCTTCTAGATATTAATAAATCATGTATCATAAGGTAATACAGAAAGAATGCAGATTTAAATAAAAACAAACAGGTATTTGGTTACTGCCTCTCTGTTCTACCTGTAAAAATATGTAAATAAATTGTATATGCATTCTGTTGGTGGCTCTGTACATATATTATTATCACAGCACTGGCTGATGAATAAGAAAGGAATCTTTAAATTTTGGTTATCTTTAAAAATATGTATTTTTATTTAGTTTTCTATTAACATATAATTTATAATTTGACCACAATTCCATTCATTCAGACCACTGGCCTTCTAATTCTATAATGATCATATTTATATTAAGGTTCAGGATTTTTCCCCCTATTTTATATAACCAGGTCAGAAAGATGAATTTCATAAACTTGTGGACTTTTCTTTTCTGGCAAAAGATAAACTATCACTATTAAATTCATTCAGAATGCAAAAAATAACATTAACATTAAGAAAATCCCTTGGATCCTGGCCTGCCTTTTTGATATCAGTATGTATCATTTCAGCGTTTATGACCAAGAACTTTTTTTCTACTTTTGTGCTTTTGGATAGTCATTTCAGTGTTCATTTCATTTGGTCTGTATAAAACACACAATTGATATATTTCTTTAGTCAATCATAAATAGGCATTACCTTCTTGTATCCCACAACTTGACAATGTTATCTAAAGAACCTGAGATGAGCTGCTGCTCGTGGGTAGGAGACCACTTTACTGATGTGACCCAGCCTGTATGTGAGGTTAGGGACAGTGACACCAAAGAGCCATCTGAACAAAACAAAAAAGATAATAATTATTGAATTTCAGAAAAGAAAGTAGGCAGAATAACCCCCAAATAATTTGTAGAAAATTATTTTTTTATACACATCTCTAGTGAAAAAAGAAATCATTATTTGTACGTATTTTTCCTTTACACAACTTACCTTTCGTTCGGGGATCCCACAGTCTGATATGCCTATCTGTACTTCCAGATGCTAACCGTTTACAAAGTGGAGAATAGGAGATACAATTAAACACTTTATTTCCTGTCTGGTGGAGGGGGGAATAAAAAAGGAAAGAATGTGTAACCAGGGTGGACTAAGAGTAACCATCTTTAGAAGTTCACCACTTAAAAACTCAAAGTTGATCAGAGAAGCACCGAATTTATAAGTCTTACCAAAGTTGACTTAAGACTGCCAGACTCAACATCCCACACTCTAATCGTGTGGTCCCAAGAAGCACTGCAGATTTCTTCAGTATCTGACCACAGAACCGAGGAAATTGCTTCCTTGTGGCCAGAAAGGGTCACTATGGGAGTCTAGAAATGAAGGACACCCAAAAGGGAAAGCAATTTCAGTTTACAGTAATTGAAACAATAATAGTACTTATTACTTCTGAAGCCCATTTGCCAGATATTTTGTCAGGTGCTTAAGCTTTCATATCCTGCCTTATTTCTTCTTTACAGCAATCCTCCAAGATGTACTTTTAGATGAAGACACTGAAGTCGAGAAAGAGAACTTGCCCAAAGTCATTCAGCTTTATAAGTGGCAGAGCTGAGTCTGAACCCAAGTATTACTCCAAAATTTATAGTCTTTCCACAATATTCTGCTGCTTCGCCATTCTACTTTTCATTTTGAGGAAATTAATATTAACAGTAATTTAATTCTCCCAGTTGACAAACATGTTATATGTCGAAGTTAGTCACAAAACGTCTGGAGTCCGAAAGATACAGGTTTGGGTTAAGGTGTTGCCATTTTCTACACAACTCACCCAGGTAAATTAATCAATCTCAATGGGTTATTCTTAGCCCCTCATTTCCTCAACAGCCAATCTTTAAAAAATATCCATAGCTCATTTATTAATACTCCAAAATCTTTAATGTCTTTCTCAAATTAAATCCTCAAACTCTAGGTATAGGGCCTATCTTAAATACAAGGAACATGTGAAAGAAACAGGGAAAGAACTCTGAAATGGGGGACATTTAATCTACTTTTGTAACTCCATTACATTTAATCTCCTTAAATGTTAAAGGAGTTACACTAGATCAGAGATCTGCAAAACATTTGATAAAGGTCCAGAAAGTAAAAATTTTAGCCTTTCCAGGCCACATACAGTCTCTGTTGTATATTTTTGTTTTTAAAACCCCTTAAAGACACAAAAATCATTCTTAGCTCTCTGTAGTACAAAATAGGCCACATCCAAGTCACCTGTTGGGCTACAGTTTGCCAACTCTTGCACCAAATGATCCTCAATGTCTCTCTCTTCTAACTCTAATATTTTCCTGAAAGAAGTAAAGGAACCTGATAGAGGAGTGAGGAACACAACCTCTGTTGTAATCCAAAACAAAATTAAAAGGCAACATGAAGATAATCAGAGGCTCTAGGAAAGGAAATGGTATGATAAAGTGATGGGTAAACGTACACAAATAAACAACCCCATTCCTAGGTATTTAACCAAGAAAAATGAAAACGTAGGTTCACACAAAAAAATTCCACAAATATTTACAGCAGTTTTATTTATAACTGTCAAATATCCAAATATCCTTCAACTGGTGAATGTTTAAGCCAACTGCTATATATCTATACAACAGAATACTACCCAGCATTTGAAAGGAAAAAACCATGAAGCCAATGACCTGGGTGAATCTTTTTTTTCCCCTCAAATGCAATATGTTATGTGAAAAAATGCTTGATGCAAAAGGCTACATACTGTGTGACTCACTTATATTTTGGAAAAGGGAAAATTATAGGAATGGAGATCAGACAGTGGTTGTCAGAGGATGGAAACAGAGGGGAAAGGTTGACTACAAATGGGCAACATGAGTTTTAGGAGATGGCTAACTGTTCTGTATCTTGAAAATGTAGTAGTTGCATATTCTATGTATTTATGAAAAATCAAAAGCTATACATCAAAAAGTGGATTTTCCTATATGTAAATTAAAAAAAAAAGGCAGAAAAGTCAACTATGGCACCATTACTGCAAACAAACTTCAGCAGAATAGTACTAGAGGAAAAAAGAGCAATTTTGAGAGAAAATGAGGAAAAAAACCTTATTGTATATTAATGTATGAAACAAATGACCAGTAAATGAACTGAGTGAGAGCATTACTCATATTAATAAAAGTCAGGTACTAGAAAGAAATCCAAAGAGAAGATAACTATGTTTGATATTTGTCTTATTTTGGTCTTAAAAATCCAACTTTTCCTATTATTTCTAATTGCAACACAATTTTCACTTCAAATAGCACTTCAAAGGTTTTTAGCATAACTTCAATTAATAATTCATGAATGCATAGATTTAAAGTCTATAAAAACCTAAGTGAGAAAAATGAATATATTGTGATTTCTATCAAATAAAATGAACAATGGAAGCAAGCTTACAAATGTACACACCTAAAAACAATAGGTATCAACAAGGAAATAAAAACAGTCTAATCTGTATCAATAAATTCTAAAAAACAAAAAACAACAACAAAAGTTATCAACAAGGCACTGAGTGTGAGAAAATACTTATAGTACCTGTATCAGCAAAGACCTTGAATCCAAAATTCATAAAGAACTCTTACAAATCAATGAGAAAAAAAAAAAACACTTTTAAAAATGGGCTAAAAATAGGAACAGACACTTTACAATTAGATATTGAAAGGCTGAGACTTCAAATCTACTATACACCAGCCCATTTTATTTAGAATAAAAATTTACAAATCTACTGAAAGAAAGTGTAATTATGGCTGACACAGCAAGACAAAAGGAAACTTAAATATGTAAGATTTAATTAACATATTTGTCAATAAAGACCTAAGCCAAGTATAGTCAGTTCTCACAAATATATACCCTTGTTAGTCCCAATTGCTCTGTTTTTTGTTTCTTTCTTGGTCGATTTGTGGATTCTTCCATTTCATCTTCTTCATCTGTAGGGACTGTATCACAGAAAATTAGATTTGATAGTTTTAAATTTTAAGGTAAACATTAATTGCAAACAGTCTCAAAGAATTCTTGTATTTCTGGGTATATACTTTATGTTATCTCAACTGGTTAGGGAATGAATATTTCTCCTTATTTTGGTTAATAGAAAATTACATATGAAAACAGTACCTGTTACCAATCTTCCAAAAGGAGAAAGCAAAAATTAAGCATAGTAAAATTCTAAAACCTAACCAGTTTGATATTTTATGTCTTTAAGATTATCATTACGAATATTCGTCACTTTACCCTACATATGAAAAAAATTGCTTACTATTAGTTGTACGAGAGTTCTAGCCAGATTGCATTTATATCATAAAGAAGGGAATGACATGGTTAACAAACACGTTAAAAGGAGATACATTCCAGCCATCCATATTTACTCTTCTTGACTATTTCACTTTTCTAACAATCAATTAAAAGCTTTTCATAGATAGTTATTTTTTGTTTGATTAAAAAAAACTTTGCTACCCATCATTTGGCTGTGTAGCAAAGCCAGATAGAAAACCACAAATTTTAACGTTCTATAACTAAAATGTCATGTGCTTTTCCTAAACTAAACACCTTAAGAGTAACAACGAATCACATATAATATCTCGTTTACCCAGTACTATCAAAAAATATTTCACAAAAGGAAAAATTTCTACACAAACCACTTTCTGCCTCAACACTGCCTGCTTTAAGGACTTTTGGAAAATCAACTAAAATGGATTATATATTTCCCGCCATTCTACACATAATTATTTAAAACTATTTAAACTTTTCTTGACACTCCCTCCCTGCCCCAACTCTACTTTGTGAGCTGCATTTTTAGGGTATTATACAGTAATACAGCAATTTCCTCAGAAGTTAAGAGAGGTATTCTGATCTGTTTACCTGTGCAATAAATAGTTCTGGGGTTTACAACTTTTAAAAATATCTGTGGGTTTTCCCCTCTCTTTTCTTCTATCAGTGTCTTCTTACTACTATCAAGGTACCTTCCTCTAACAGTCCTCCCTCCTCCACCTCTAATTGGTCCTTCTAATCTATGCTTTCAAAGTAAGAAAATTAAGTTTAGTTAAAGTGTATTAAAAAATTTTTTTTAAGTAAACCAACTTAACTAAGAAATTTCTCTAATAGTAAATTGCATCAAAATGACTCAGAAGCTATTTTTGTTTATTTCCAGGCTCCTGAATAAGGGAATTCTGAGAACTAAAGCAGTTATGTCCCATTGTACCAGACATGTTGTTGATACTTGGAGGGACTCAGTGACGTTGTCCAATAAATAGGTGTGGTGGGGTAGAAAAATACTTTGAAACAGAAAGAAATATACCAATTTTTCTCTATACTGTGGTACTTTCTTTGTGACCTAAAAAGCTCTAGTCCATTTTTATGGCAAAATATGGACTAAAAAGTCTTCTTTCACTGAAATTCTTTAAGTATCATTAATAAGTCAAAGTAGAAGAAATATTTCATTTACCTGTAGACCAGATCTTAAGCATCTTATCCCAGGAGCCACTGCAAAACTAAAAAAGACATATATGAAGGGAAAAAGCATATGCAAAATAATCCATCATATTATTTGTCTGGTTTTTCCTGCTATTTAACCTGAAACCTTTACTTGACTCTGAAACCCTTACTATTATGGTATCATCTATCTCCCTGTTTTCCTGGTCTCTGGGAAGTTGTACCCTCAATCTCATGGCAATTGGGAGAGCTGTCATTCTTGGAGGTCTTATTATGCTTTGGGTTTTTTTGGGGGGAGGGGTTGGATTTATTTACGTACTTCTTTATTTACCAGAGGTACTGGGGATTGAACCCAGGACCTCTTGGATGCTAGGCATGCACTCTACCACGAAGCTGTACCCTCCCCCCAGAGCTATCATTCTTATATGGCCCTGTACCCTGGGCATGGTTGCTTAGATGAGGGTGGGCAACTGACCTACACTATGCCAGTAAGTCTCTTCCTTCTTTAGAACTTTTGTTTTTTGAAAATTTGAGAGTTGAAGTTAATCTTTTTCCAGGAACAGGCAGCACAGGATATAAAACCTGGAAACACTGAAGGCCAGATTTTATTGCCATGTGAAGAAAGCCAGTCTGAGGTGAGAGAGAATGAAGTTAACTTGGAGAGACAAGAGAGGGTGGGGGTGTGCTGGCCACATTCAAGTCTACTCCATTGGTTCCTGAGACCCAAATACTCATCACCTTGCTCATGATGTGACTGGTCACTCCTTCCTTGGATTTCACAATCTTTTAAGCTAAAAAAAGTTCAAGATGAGTTTCTGTCTCTTATAGCCAAAAGACAGGATACAGTTAATTCCCTTACGTTTGGACTCAACATGTAAATCTTTCCTATGGCTCAATGTGAATTTACTCATAAATTTTTACCTTTGAATGCAAAAATGTCCTCTGTTACGCTAGCTGGTAAAGAAATGCTGAAAGAACACTCTTAAATCTGGAATACTTCACTGTGGTTCAGAGAATGTTCAAGAGGTAAGACTCTGTAACCCCTCATAAGTCAATACCGTGTTGCCTTCATGGTTTGATTTCTTTTTAGCTAATTTTACATTTGTCATGATAAAGATATAATAATAGTAAAACAACCTCTATTAACAGTAACTTTAGTGTATGCTGCCTTAGGTGACCAACTAGACATTTTCAGTTGATGACAGCACTGTGAGTAGCTACAAGCCTAAAAATGTCAATTAGTATGATTTAAGAAGGTTACATAAAGAAATTACTTGTTTAACCTGATTTCTTAAAATCTGTGCAATTTATATAAAGTTCTAAACCAGAGGTACAGAGTGAGGGAGTGAATCTTCATATCTCATATGAGTACTTTTAGTTTGAAATCATATTCTTTAGTCATCAATTGTTATGAAAGTAGACTGATCACAATGGCTTTATGTAGAAAAGAATTTTTTTTTGCACAAGAAGCTCAAATTCTAATTCAACACAGTACTAGTAACACAACAGCTCTTACCTTAGTTCCTG